TTCTTTTTTCTCTCTATGTTTATATATATATATATATATATATATATATATATATTTCACTTTTTCACTGTTTCTAAAATAAAAATTGCTTTGTTTTACTTCCAAGTCACACGCAAACAAGATTTGATTGTGAAGTAAATAAGTAAAATAGAAAAGTAAGCGGCCAAAATACACTCTATCCTTACAAAATCATCCATTTAATATATGTTCCGGGTTCACCACAACTCGTTTTAATTTAGCTTGATTCATCGCAATTCTAAAATATGGTTTTAAGATGTATTATTGACGTTAAACTCGTCATAACTTTAATTAAATTAGAGTAAATTTTTTATTTATATATACTCAAGGTAAAATCGATACAAATAATGTATAATTCAGATGATTTTTATTTCTCACATAATCGGAATAGGTTTGTACCATTTTTTTCCATAAAAAATATGAACAACAAAACTAATAAAGATAAGCTCAATCTTGGTATTATTGAAACTATGATGAAAACATATCTGAAAGGTTTTCTTTTCTTGATGAAATATTTCATAAGACTATAAATGTGTGGAAGATTAAAACAATGGCTCTTTTTAAACCATATTAATAAATAATTTTCTAAATTATAATCCGACAATACTTACCAATAAAAATTTAATAATACGATAATTTTTAATTTTTCTTATATAACCAATTTGATTTAGAAAATGGCAATGCAAAACCAAGAACGGAAAAGAGAAGAAAAGCCACAATAAACTTATATGGCGCACGTTAGCTCGAGAGGCGCAAGTGCTCTGCCCTTTCTCTCTCTAGAGAAATACTGAACAACCTAAGATAAAATACCAGAGAAGCTCTCGGATAGAGATTAGAGAGACAGGAGAAACCATTTCAGAGGCAAGGAAGAAGAAGAAGAAAACGACCATAATCACAAGCGATGAAGCAGGTCTCGCCGGAGGCAGTTTTATCGTCTTCCTCGGAGGCGGACCAGTCGCAACCGGGGGTTTCTTCGACTTCGTCGACGACGGAGAAACCGCTGTCGTCGTCTTCGATATCTCCGGCGGAGGACCTGCAGGTGGGATCGTCAAGGGATGGGAGCGGAGGCGCGCAGGAGATCGTGGCCGTCGATCGACGAGGCGAGTACGCCGCCATGTGCCGATGGATGGTCCAGAACTTCCCCCGTGTCAAGACCAAGGCACTGTGGAGCAAGTACTTCGATGTCGGAGGCTACGATTGCCGCCTCCTGGTTTACCCTAGGGGCGATTCCCAGGCGCTCCCGGGTTACATCAGCATCTATCTCCAGATCATGGACCCTCGCGGAACGACGTCGTCTCGCTGGGACTGCTTGGCTAGCTACCGTCTCTCCATTGTGAACCAGGTCGACGATTCCTTGCCCATCCACAAGGATTCGTGGCACAGATTCTCTAGCAAGAAGAAATCTCACGGCTGGTGCGATTTCACCCTCAACTCTAATGTCTTGGATCCCAAGTCGGGTTTCCTGTTTAATAACGATTCTTTGTTGATTACCGCTGATATCTTGATCTTAAACGAGTCCGTCAGCTTTAGTCGTGATAACAGCAATGACGGGCAGTCGTTGTATAAGGAGAATTCGATAGCTGGAGCCGTGCCAGATGTTTTGAGTGGCAAATTTACTTGGAAAGTTCATAATTTTAGTTTGTTTAAGGAAATGATTAAGACCCAGAAGATAATGAGTCCTGTTTTCCCTGCCGGGGAGTGTACTTTGAGGATCAGTGTTTACCAGAGCGTGGTCAATGGACAAGAATATTTGTCCATGTGTTTGGAGAGCAAAGACACCGAGAAGACGGCCATCTCTGACAGGAGCTGTTGGTGTTTGTTTAGAATGTCTGTATTGAACCAGAAGCCTGGATGCACCCACATGCATAGAGATTCTTATGGGAGGTTTGCTGCTGATAATAAGAGTGGGGACAATACAAGCTTGGGCTGGAATGATTACATGAAGATGTCTGATTTTGTGAACTTGGAATCAGGGTACTTAGTGGATGATACGGCCGTCTTTAGCACCTCGTTTCATGTTATCAAAGAACTCAGTTGCTTCACTAAGAACACAGGTTTGATCGGGGGAAGGAATACAAATGGAGCCAGGAAGTCAGATGGACACATGGGTAAATTCAGTTGGAGAATCGAAAATTTCACAAGGTTGAAAGATCTTCTGAAAAAGAGGAAGATAACGGGTCTTTGCATCAAAAGTAGGAGGTTTCAAATTGGGAATCGGGATTGTCGTCTTATTGTTTATCCACGAGGTATGAGAGTACTTCCATAATATACACAAATAGTGTTTAAATTCCTTAAATCTACAGGGAAGTTGTAGCTTTGTTTGGATGAAGAACCTTATTCAATATAAAGACACTTTTATTCTAATGTTGTTATATGAAATAGACATAAAGGCCGACAAATACTGTTCCAACACTTGAGCTGTCTGATTGCTGCTTGCGTGGAGCTTAGAGACTGAACTGATGGTACTGTTTTCTTCTCTTGATGGCCTCAGGGCAGTCACAGCCACCCTGTCATCTTTCAGTGTTTCTTGAAGTAACGGATTCTCGAAGTAGTAGTGATTGGAGCTGTTTTGTTAGCCACCGGCTATCAGTTGTGAATCAGAAAATGGAGGATAAATCTGTGACTAAGGAATCTCAGAATCGCTACTCAAAAGCTGCAAAGGATTGGGGTTGGCGTGAATTTGTGACACTCACAAGTTTGTTTGATCAAGACTCTGGATTTCTAGTTCAAGAGACCGTGCTATTTTCAGCTGAGGTTCTTATTCTGAAAGAGACATCTATAATGAAGGACTTCACAGACACTGAATCAGCTGATTTAGTTCCCCAGATCGATAGCGGTGGGAAAAGAAGTTCATTTACATGGAAAGTGGAGAATTTCTTGGCTTTCAAAGAAATAATGGAAACTCGAAAGATCTTTAGCAAATATTTTCAGGCTGGTGGATGCGAACTTCGGATTGGTGGGTGGTTTCTTCCTTCTCTATCTGCGTATTTCACTCGTTGATAATTGCCTGGATTGCTCTAATTTCTGTGTGTGGCTGTGGCATATAATAATGCAGGTGTGTATGAGTCCTTCGATACCATTTGCATATATCTAGAGAGTGACCAATCTGCGGGTACCGATGTGGACAAGAATTTCTGGGTTAAATACAAGATGGGTATTCTGAATCAAAAGAATCCTGCTAAAAGTGTGTGGAAGGAGTCATCGGTTTGTACCAAGACATGGAACAATTCAGTCTTGCAATTTATGAAAGTGTCAGATATGTTGGAGGCTGATGCAGGGTTTCTTGTGCGCGACACTGTTGTTTTTATGTGTGAAATATTGGATTGTTGCCCTTGGTTCGAGTTTTCAGACCTAGAGGTAGTTTATGAGACTGAAACCCTAGGAGCTATTTTTCTTATATGTATCTTCTCCATTGCTGAGTAATTTCTTTCATGCTAGAGGTCTTACCAAATAGTTTCAACGTCTTATCTTTTTCTTTCACCAGGTCTTAGCTTCAGATGATGATCAGGAGGATGCCTTAAATACTGATCCCGATGAGGTAATTGACTCAGAGGACAGTGAAGGAATGAGCGGAGACGAGGAAGACACATTCCGGGATTTTCTTATTAGAGCTGGATTCCATCTTTCGTATGGGGAAAATGCTTCACAACCACAAGTTACTCTTCGAGAGAAGCTTCTGATGGATGCTGGTGCAATCGCTGGTTTTCTGACTGGATTGCGTGTATATCTCGACGATCCTACTAAAGTAAAGCGATTACTCCTTCCGACTAAAATTTCCGGTAACGACAGAAGCAAGCTAACAAAAAGCGATGAATCTTCACCGAGCCTGATGAATTTGTTGATGGGTGTCAAAGTTCTGCAGCAAGCAATCATTGATTTGCTATTAGATATAATGGTAGAGTGTTGCCAACCATCAGAGGAAGGTTCTCATTGTGAGCATTCTGTAATGTACTCCAAAAGCCATGGTTATGAAGAAGAAGAAGAAGAAGAAGAAGAAGAAGCAGAAGCTCTGTCGGAATCAACAAGGGAAAATGGAGCAACAGAGACTTGGGAACATCCTATTGAGGAGAGATTCGGTTCGGGTACAGATGATAGTCTCAATACCGAAGCTGTACAAAGCTCCGAGATGAGCGGAATCGATATGCTTGAGAAGGCCTTTGCCATAGATCCTCTTTGCCGGCAGTCCTCTGAAAATGCATCACTCCAAACAAAGGTGGAGACTTTTCTGTATTGCCAAAAGCAAAGCTCTTACCTTTTTTTTTTGGTTGTTTTCCTGAGAAGAGCTTCTGGGTCTGATTGTCAACTCACTAAAAGCCCTTGACGGGGTTGTTCCTCAAGGCTGTCCAGAGCCAATGCGGCGACCAAACTCTGCTCAAAAGATTGCTCTTGTCTTAGACAGAGCCCCCAAACATCTTCAACCAGATCTTGTCAGTTTGGTTCCGAAACTGGTTGAGCATTCAGAGCATCCACAGGCTGCTTCTTCCCTTCTCGAACGGCTTCAGAAACCTGAAGCCCAACCATCATTGTGTCTGCCGGTGAGATTTGGCTCGCTCTAACAATGCCTCTCTCTTTGTTTCATGTACCCTTTTTTAGGGATGGGCATTTCGGATTCTGGTTCAGTTATTTCGGTTTTAGAAAAACTATGACCATTCAGTATTTATATTGAATTCGGTCCGGTTCGGGTTCGAGTTCGGCTTTTATGGATAAAATACCCATTTTTTCAAAGAAATTTTTGGTTTTTTTGTTCGGTTCGATTTGGGTTAGGTTTCTTCCATTTGAGAAAAATCGTAACAATTTGGGTTTTATATGGAATTCGGTTCGGATTTGTTCAGGTATTCGGTTATTAACTAAAATGCCCACCCCTACTCTTTTTCCATGTCTCAGTCGTTGAATGATTATGGATTCCACCCTTGTGGCATAGGTATTCAATGCTCTTAGCCAATTGGAATGCGACAGTGAAGTGTGGGAGCGCATCCTATTCCAGTCATTCGAGCTTTTGAGAGACTCGAACGAGGAATATCTTGTTCCGACCGTCGATTTCATATTTAAGACTGCCTCTCAGTGCAATCGCCTTGATGTTGCTGTATGCATTTCTTGAATCGTTTTCCCTCTTAGTTTGGCACTTTTTTAGTAGAGTTTTCCTACACATTTTCACTAACGGTTTTTCCCTTCTCTCTTCTGAAGGTGAGATCTATCCGCGAGCGGATGAAAATTCTTGGGTCTGATGTATCTCCTCGTGTCCTCGAGTATCTAAGTAAAGCCGTGCGCAATTGGCAAGATGTTGCCGAAATGATACTGAGAGATATCGATCCGGACGACAGTTTCGGCGGAAATTGCGTGCCATTGCCTTGTGGGTTCTTCCTGTTCGGTGAAAACTCCGAAATGTCTGGCTTGACGGATGAACATGCAATCCATGCTAATCGTCACTTTTTCGATGTGTACATCCTGTTGGAGATGTTGTCAATATCCTGCCTAGCTGCAGAGGCATCCCAAACATTTGAGAGAGCCGTGGCTCGGGGACTGATTGTTCCTCAATCTATTGTCATGCTCCTCGAAAAGCGTCATATTCCGAGCTTGAATCCTAATGCTGCAATGGGGGATAGTTCTTTTATGCATCAAGATCATGTATTAGAGGGAAAAGCCAGCGAGCAGCCTGCAGATGGGGGTATCGAGTTTGTGACAATTCTCGGTCTAGCCGAGACATTGGCAAACTCCCAGGATATTCACGTGAAGGGGTTTGCGAAAACGCTCTACACAATATTATTCAAATGGTTTCCCGATGAGTCGTGTAGCTCGAGAGGCGCAAGTGCTCTGCCCTTTCTCTCTCTAGAGAAATACTGAACAACCTAAGATAAAATACCAGAGAAGCTCTCGGATAGAGATTAGAGAGACAGGAGAAACCATTTCAGAGGCAAGGAAGAAGAAGAAGAAAACGACCATAATCACAAGCGATGAAGCAGGTCTCGCCGGTAGGCAGAGAATGCTGAAGAGACTTGTAGATCGGTTCACGACGGCGGGTAGTAGCAGTCGGGATTCGGATATAGAGTTGGATATTCTTGTAATTCTGATTTGTCAGGAGCAAGAAGTTGTCAAACCTGTGTTAACCATGGTGAAAGAGGTTGTTGGACTTGTGCATGTCGATCGGGCGGCTCTGTGGCACCAGTTGTGCACGAACGAGGAAGAACTTGTTCGCACGAGGGAAGAACAGAAGGTCGAGATTCAGAATCTGACGAAGGAAAAATCCGCTCTAACACAAAAACTGAGTGATTCCGAGGCAGCAAACGCCCGTCTCAAGGTATGTGATTACTTCGTTTATGCTTGTGAGTTGTGATGTAGGGGTGGGCATGGGTCATTACCTGATCTCGTACCTGTATGGTCGGATACACGAACTCGAATATTGGCACCCGCGGGTACCCGTGGGACGATGATCTTGTATCTGTATCCGAAGTTCCAAACCCGAAATTTCAGGTTTTCCAATATCATTATCCGATCTCGTGTTTCATATGTTCGAGTAACCGAAATTTCGGGGTCTTTTACCCAGCCCTACTGTGATGTGATGGTTTCGGTGGTTTTGGTGAGTAATGTATAGCTACTGATGTTGTTTATGGAATGGCAGTCCGATACGAAGGCGGAGATTGATCACTTTGCCCGGGAAAAGAAGGAGCTGTCGGAACAGATCCGAGAGGTCGAGAGCCAACTGGAGTGGATTCGCTCGGAACATCAAGACGAGATAGATAAGCTCTCGTACGAGAAGAAGACTCTTTCGGATCGCCTTCACGAGGCAGAGACACAACTTTCTCTTCTGAAAACTCGGAAACGAGATGAACTGAAGGTATGTACTACCTTCTGAGATAATTTCTGAACTTTAAATGCTTTACCCTCGCGATCAGTAAATTTCTGCAACATATAAGATGGATGTTCTGACGTTGCAGAGGGTGGTGAAGGAGAAAAATGCTCTGGCAGAGAGGTTAAAGAGTGCGGAGGCAGCCCGGAAAAGATTTGACGAAGAACTGAAACGGTATGCTACCGAGAACGTGACTCGGGAAGAAGTCCGGAAATCACTCGAGGACGAGATCAGGAGACTGACGGAAACGGTAGGGCAGACAGAAGAAGAAAAGCGCGAGAAAGAAGGCCAGATCGCTCGGTGCGAAGCATACATTGACGGAATGGAATCCAAATTGCAAGCTTGCCAGGTTTTTCGTCATCTCATCTCCGAGTTCAAGTAGGATAACGAGAAGGTTTTTTTTTTCTTCAACGGTTTTTTTTTTCTCCGTTCTGTCCACAGCAATACATCCACTCGTTAGAATCATCGCTTCGGGAGGAAATCTCGAGGCACGCACCGTTGTACGGTGCGAATTTAGAGAGCCTATCGATGAAGGAGTTGGAGACAATAGCTCGGATACACGAGGAAGGGCTAAGGCAGATCCATGCTCTTCAACAGCAACGAAAGGGAAACACTCCATCACATGGGCATGGGTTCTACCCAACCGCGCAGTCACAGCTTCCCTCGGTGGCCATGGGTTTTCCGCCTCAGCTGATCCAGAACGGTTCGAACGGTCACCTGAGCGGTTCGGTCCGGCCTTGGTTTTAGCCGCCTCCCCGGAAAAGCCCTTTGGAGTGAGATTAAGAATTAGCCTCTGAATTTGTATAAGAGGTAATCATAATCTTCCTGCTTCACTTCTTCTTTTTCTCCATATATATATATATATATATGTATATATGTATGGGGGTGTGCCCAGTGGAACTGACAGTGGCAGAAGTGCCTTGCTTCTTTAATTTTTTTTTTTTGGCTTATATATGTATATGTATATATATGCCAATGCTATTCACAGATTCGTAGGTGTTTTCAAGGAAGTCTCCCATCATAGTGTCAATTTTTCCTTTTTTCTTTTTAAACCCAAAAAGACTCATTTTTCAGACTTTTGAATTAATTTCATACCATAAATAAAATGAAAGAAAAAAAGGGTATTTTTTCTTTTTTTTTTTTGTGTGATGAAAGGGTTATTGGATGAAGAGGGTTTTCATCGTTTGGGCTTCATGTGCATGAAAGAATATTCGAGCTTAGTGGCGTTGGATTTTTGCATGCCCCATGAATCTCCTCAATGAAAATCAATCATAAGTTTATGATTTTGTGGTGATCTGAATATAAAAAAAATGCAAATAAGATTTGATCCAAATTTTAAAAAAAAATGAACAAGGGATAATATCAAAATGGTTTGTATCAAGGAGGTGCCATAAGCATGCACCCAACCACCAATTTACCAACTTGGCATCTGGTCAGACCACCAAATGTCACCAAAAATAAAATGAATAAATACATACATACATACGTACATACATATACTAACATTCTTTTTTTTTTCCTATTCTGTTTGAATAATTCGATACTGTGAAATCAATCATACAGTTTACTTAGAAATTTATGTTAATTTTGGATTATGACTCAAAATGAATAAAAAAAAGGGGCCATCATTTTCTATTTCATCTTACTCTGTATGTGATGGCAATTTATAAAAAAATCAAAATTTTAAAATAAATAAATAATTTTATTAAACGTATGAGCATGGATGGGGTATTTATTGAAATGGTCCTTATTATTATTGTACTGTTTTTTTTTTCCTTTCACGAATGTGTTATATTGTTGACTGTTAGGCACAAGGCCTTTATTGCATGGAATGGAAGCCGAATCACCAATTTCCTCCTCAAACAATATTCCAAAATCTATTGTTATTTTCCAATCTTATTATTATTATTATTTATTAGATTTCCCATTTTCTCCTTATAAATATTACGACATCAATAAATAACGTATCAATATAATCCGTTTCTTTTTGCCGACAACAAATGAAAAGCCGACAATAGTTGCTATCTCCTCTTGTAATAATACTAATAAGCCTTCATATTATGTTCCTAATATTACGAAAAATAATTAAGATTTAATACAATAGAAACAGTAAAGTTTTGGCAATAAATTGAAAAATACTTAAATACAACATAAAATGGTATTAGTATATTATTATTATTTAATTATTTATGATTTCTCCTAACCTCCTTCCCTCGCGGTTACTCTTTTCCTTTCATAGCTGAGTCTTCTTCAACCTCTCTTTTTTTCTCGCATTTTCTTTTCCTTGTTCGATTTTTCCGGGAAAACAGCGGAAAGTCCCTCCATTCTCCGTATCTCACACTCCATCGCAGTTCTCGGACCTCGCGTTTGCGTGGATCTACTAGAATCAGAAGGAGAAATTCCAATTCTATTTCACATTCCATCACCCAAAACCTAAGGCGATATCCAGGCAGATCTCTGCGGATTTCTTCATCTGTTTGTAAAGCTTTTCCTTTAGAGATTTCTGGGTTTTTTCCTGGATTTCTGATGGGTTGGAGATACAAAGCCGGTCTGTTCTTGATCGGCACTGTTGTTGTCATATGGGTCACCTCTGCAGAAGTCACCCAGGTATTGCTCTTTCTTCGTCGGAATCGCCATTGTTTCCATCTTCTGGATTTGGATTCGATGGGCGTTTCTGGGTTCTGTTCTAAGGATTCGGGGTTTGACTTGTTTACAGTTTGATCTTTATCAGGATCCAATTCCAATACTTCCTGTATCATAATCTTGTTCTTGATGAAGTTCGAAGGCTTGGAGAAGATAAGCTTGTCAGATTCCCATCCTTGAATGATTAAAACTTAAAAGTGATTGCCTTGAACAAATGAGAGCTTTTCGAAATTTGCAGATGCTTGTGTTTGATTTGGTAATTAGATTATCTAGCAAGTATATATTGTAGATTGGCCAACGAGGTTTATAGTCTTCCTCGAGCTCGTTAAAATTTGGTGGTTCCTTGCCCTTTTTTGGTTGGTATTGCGCATTTCATAGATATCGAGCGGAATTCTTTGCTCTTTTGTGATAATGGATAGTATTGCAAGCTTTTCGGATAGCTAGTAATGTATCGCATCCCTTTGATCAGGATATCTTTACAGCGTATAAGCAGCCGTTTGCTGTCACATATCTCGGTGCTTCTCTCATGGTGGTTTATCTTCCCATAGCATTTCTCAAAGACTGGATTTGTAGATTATTAGAGCGACGAAGCTCTTCTAAAAGCAACAGAGTTCCCAAAGACGCCATTGATGTTCCGGATGAGCTTAGTTCTCCTTTGAGACACAGAATCGTCGAAATGGAACTTTCAGGGTCTCTAACTAAGAAAGATAGCGATGTGGACCTTTCATCTCAAGAGGATGCGAGACCGTTGATAGGTAAGAGTAAAGAAGAAGCACTGACACCGAGAAACGAAAAACAGTTCACCACAAAGCAGATTGCCATATATGGGTTTTACCTTGCACCCATTTGGTTTATAACAGAGGTATTGTTTCTTTTGATTTGCTCTTGATATTTCCTCTCTTGTTTCCGATTTTTAGCTTGCTCTATTGCCGTTTAGTAAGCTAAACGCTTTTCGATTTCTGTGTTTGAGATCATCATACTTGGTAGTTAGTTGCGGCTTCTTACAAGCCCTTTTTACCATTTCCCGGTCCCAAGTTTTGTTGAAGATCTTGGACTCTGACATGATTCATGAGTCTCTCACCTGAAGAACTCGAACTAAATAGTTTTTTTTTTCTTTCAAGTCTTGATTATGCTTGAGCCCGTCGTTTAAAGTCAGATTTGGAAGCTTAACGATGATATTGTCGGCATTTTGTTCTTTCAGTACCTTTCGAATGCTGCTCTTGCACATACAAGTGTTGCAAGTACGACTGTCTTGTCCTCGACCTCGGGGCTTTTCACTCTTTTCATTGGTGCGATGTTGGGCCAAGATTCTTTGAACCTATCGAAAGTTGTTGCTGTGTTTGTAAGCATGGCCGGTGTGGCCATGACAACCATGGGCAAGACTTGGACTGCTGACGACTCTCAGTTAAATTCATCGCTGTAAGTTTCCGATGGTCTCCGAGTCTATTCTGTGTTTAGCTTGTCCAGTTTTGTTCAGAAAGACTGTTTATATATATTATATATATGGACTGAAACCCCGATTACATGTTTGTTCCCTTTTCATCGACCATATTCTTTTAACATACAGTTGTATTTGTGTTTAGCAACGGGCAGCGGTCCCTTTTGGGAGATCTGTTTGGGCTTCTCTCAGCTGTCTCCTATGGGCTATTCACAGGTAATATTAGAAATCATCCCCCAGTGTTTTCATTGTTTTGGAGATGATCAAATAACGTGTTGACGTTTTAACGTTACTCGTTCAAAAAAAATAATGATCTCGTGGCTTGACCGATGGAAAATAACTGTGTGATTTACACCGACAGTGCTTCTTAAGAAGTTTGCCGGTGAGGAAGGAGAAGGGGCTGATGTGCAGAAGTTGTTCGGATATATTGGATTGTTCACACTTGTTGCTCTCTGGTGGCTCGGTAAGAGAATATCTTTTTCGCACTACTCAGTTCTACGAGTGAGTAAACGTAATTGTTCAACTGTTATGGATGGGGAGAAAACAATCTTAGTTTTTGTTGTTGTTGTTGTTGTATTTTGTTTCAGTGTGGCCATTGACAGCTCTTGGGATCGAACCCAAGTTCACAATACCGCACTCGGCCAAAGTTGATGAAGTCGTTTTGGCAAACGGGTTTGTCGGAAGCGTCTTATCCGACTATTTCTGGTATGTCGGAGAGGATAGTTGGCTTTGGTAACTTAGCTTAATATCTGGTTTCGATACTTGAAAACACGACACACACAAATCGCAAAACACTCTCGAGTTTTTCGAGATCAGAGATTCTTTCATTCACTCTGTTTGGTTCCATCAAAACCCGTACTGTGGATGGGCAGGGCGCTGTGTGTTGTTTGGACAACGCCGTTGGTAGCGACCTTGGGGATGTCTCTGACCATTCCTCTTGCGATGACAGCCGACATGGTGATCCATGGGCGCCATTACTCCGCAATCTATGTTCTTGGATCGATTCAGGTAACGCTTTTGATGACGACGACGATGAATGTATGTGTGTGTGTATATGCTCAGATGTATGTGAGTGGTTCTTTCAGGTGTTTGCCGGATTCGTGATAGCCAACCTCAACGACTGGTTCTCCAAGAAGCTCCATTTATAGCAAGTCGCATCTCTTCTCTCTTTCTTTTTTCTCTCTTCAAATTGGTTGATCTGAAAACATAAATGAGTAGACACTCCCTTTTTTTTTCTTTGGTTTTGTAATGGAACTTTGGTTTAAATGTACAAAATCTGTTTTGATTTGTCTTCTGCTGCTCCCTTGTCTTTCTTAGTGCTGTGAACTCGGTAATAATATATTTTAATTGGATTTTTTGAATTTTATTATAATCTTCGAAATTTCGATATATATATATATATATATATATAGATATGTATCATGATCTCAAATTTTAGAACTTGTCAAATTCGGACTTTTGATTTTCAAAATTCAAACCGGGACCGGGTCGTTTAATCTCGATTTTTTTATCGGTTTTCTATATTCAAACCGATTCGTTTAAATCCGGTTTATTTATGACCCGATTTGATTAAACTCGTTTGTTTTATGATCCGGTTCGTTAAACCCGATTTATCTATGAATCAAGACTGAATCTAATAGACCGATTCTCCTTACATGGCACCTACTTACTGATTTGTCTCGACATGTCACACGTGATCTAGAACTAGTCAATACATTATTTTGGTCGATTAGTGATAATAATGATTATAGAATTGGTAATTACTTTGTTTAAAAATATAAATTCGGGAATAAATAGGTACTCTTACACATTCGGTGTTCGGTGTATAATATTACACCAAATTATAAGTTAAAAAAATTTCATCATTTTTTCTCTAACAAAAATCAAAATCGGTACCTATTTAATACACCGAATCGACCAAAAACAACAAATAAATCATAAAAAATATCAACCTAAAGTTTAAACAATCGTTTACACAGAAACGCCGCAATGACTCTAAAGACGATGGAGAAACGATCAAATGACGGAAGAAATAAATCCGTTAATACAAAAGAACGGCGGAACGACGATGACGTGGCGTTTATAAATCCGTTAATATTATGACGTTTGAAATTTACAGAATCTTTTTGTGGCAAATATTACTGAGGAAGAAAAAGAGTAAGCTGCTATCTGAACAGGAAGGTTTGTTCTCCGTTTTTTCCCGTGGTCGGAAATTATTTTTATTGCAACGACGATTTAATCGTCAGTTTGGGTTTTCGTCGATCTGCTTTACGACGACCATGGCGCCGATTATCAGATCTACTCCTCTTCTCACTTTGTTCGTCTCTAAGCTTTGCTTCTTCTTCTTCATCTTCTGTGCTTCCTCTCTTCCAACCTCATTGGGGTAAAATCTTGTTCTCAATTTCTCCCGTGTTCCTTTTTTTTTTAATGTAGAGTTCAATTTCAGTGAATCTGGCGTTGTTTTTCCTCGTTCTCTGCTGGATAATCTACTTTTCCTGTTTCCCGATCTTGTTAGCACTAGCCCTAGGTTCGTTTTCGTGTTTCACTGGCTCGTCGCCGAAATAGGGTTTCCTCTGTCTGTAATTTAGACGGTGTGTTATGTGAGTTTGATTTTACTTGCCTAAGGAGCATGATTTTTGAAAACTGAGATATTTTTGGCAAATCCAAGCGCTTTTTGTTCATCCTTATCTTTCTTTTAAATCAAATTGATCTGATCTTTTGCAGGTCTGAGGACACTTACACGATCACTGGTAGAGTGAAGATCTCGCAAAGTATGTCGCTTCATTATTCCTTCCTCCTTTGCTGGGTACTTGATGTATACCATGAAACTTGATTTTTTATCAGAGAGTTAAGAATCATGGTTAGAACTTAAGATTCTGGTTTGCGGGTTATCGGGCAAGATTCATCTTCCTTTCGGCAATACGTTCATATGTTCGGAATGGAGATTTTCGGACATTGTACAATTCCATAGAGCTGATGGAGATGTTAATATTTTGGCAGGCATTGAGATTGGTGTCGCAGCCCAATTCTCGAATGTCAAGGTCATACTCAACGGTGGACAGAACGTCACTTTTCTCAGGCCTGATGGATATTTTTCATTGTATCCTACACTTGTTTCTCTCTTCAAGCCGTAAAAACTTCTTCTAGATCCGATTCGATGAAATCTTGCTTGCATTGTCTGATGATTAGCTTCTTTTGCACATATCTTTTACGCATATGCCGGAACGAAATGGACCCTTTATGAATATGTCAAACTATGTTGTCAAAACAAGAAAAGAGCTCTGTTCTTCTTGACTTTTATGTTCTTGAAGTCACAATGTACCAGCTGGGACTCATTTGATCGAAGTATCTGCACTTGGCTACTTCTTTTCTCCGGTTAGATCATTGCCTTCCTAGATTCTGTGTTTCTTGGTACTCAAATCTTTTAAGAATTTGGTTTGATAACGGTGAAATTCTAGGTACGAGTTGATGTTAGTGCTCGGCATCGTGGTAAGGTACAAGCAACACTAACCGAAACCAGGAGGAGCCTCACCGAGCTGGTTTTGGAACCGTTGAGGGAAGAGCAATATTACGAGGTGATAATGCTGTCCTATTTGTTTGTTTCATAGATGATGTTCTTTATATCTTCTTTTTCTACGGTATTCGTATAATGTATCATGTATGTAACCTTGCAGATGAGAGAGCCTTTCTCCGTAATGTCGGTCGTGAAAAGTCCGATGGGTCTTATGGTCGGATTTATGGTCGTGGTTGTGTTCCTGATGCCCAAACTGATGGAAAACATAGGTACTTTTTTCTCGGAACCCTCGACTTGTAAACAAGTATTCCTGCCACCGGAATCTAAACTAGTTGTGTTGTGAATAAAAAGCAGTACATTTACATGAAATGGTGATCTGGGTTCTGTTCAGGATCTTGGAATTGTGTGTGTGCACATATATATATACACACACACACCTAAGCAGCTCTTACACAGTCTCATATATATGAAGTGTGAAACTATTCGGAATTTTGTGCTTGTTGCTGATGAAAAATCCAAAATTTCTGTCAACAGATCCGGAGGAAATGAAGAGGGCGCAAGAGGAAATGAGGAGCCAGGGAGTGCCTACGCTCTCCAGCTTGCTGCCTGGGGCAGCTGCCCGCTAAGAGGGTTTTTTTTTCCCTTCAGTTAGTTGAATTTGCATGTAGAATATGATTTATTATTATTGGTCAGGAAAGATGGCTTGGACTTTGGGTTTTCTTCAAACATTTCATCCTATGAACCTGTTCCATTAATAAGCAGATCTATATGCATCATCGGTTCTTTTTTGTCTTGGTTGGTGGCTGAGAAATTCCGGGTCAGGGACTCGGTCTCGTTAGACCGGTACCCGTGAGCTGGTTGATTCGGGTATCCGCTCATATTTGAACTCTTGAAAATTTCGTAAATTTGGTAACTTGTGTTGATTTTATTAAAAGCATATGGATAATTTTATTAAAAGATAATATTATTGTTGTGAATATACTAATGTAGTACGTTATAAACATCATTTTAATATTTATGAATAATATGTTTGGAAATATTCTAATTCGAACCCCTGGACCGGGTTTGGATTTTGTTGCGTTCGTCTTCAACTTCATGGATATCTCTACAACACTGGTTTTCAAAAAAAAAAAAAATAGTTGACATTTTTTACATATTTCTCCTTCCATTTCAATAGAAATATTGTTTTAATTTTTTTACAGTTTTTTAAAAAGTCATATATACCCTTATTAAATCATATCCACATTAATGATCTATTCAAGTTTGATATCTTTATTTAAATATAAATTTTAATTTTTTTTATTAAAAATCACAGAAAAATCTAAAATTATAATTATTTATAAACAAAAATTAATCCCCAAAACTATATTTATATTGAAACGGAGGGAATATTAGTTTACTTTAAACAAAAATAAGTGGCTAGATTTTGTAATCATCTGATTTATAGGTTATTTTTAATCTCAAATTATTGATCATATGTTTCTGAAGCTTCTATTTAATTTGTGCATTTAAGAGGATTTGTTTGAATCCTGCACACACAAAAGCCTCTGTTTGGGATCATTGTTAACGTTATTAACCCTAATTAATTATCTTTGGATTAATCATGGTTTTATCGTAATTATCGGGAAAAGCACCCACGTCCACACGTGTGGAATAGAAGACACGTACGAGTTAGCGCCATCCTTGTCGTCCGGAACGTTGACCTCTCCCATCTTCCCAAAAATAAATCCATTTTCATTTTTTCTATATTTTCCATTTCCCTCCCTCTCTCTCTCTCTCTGGATTTGAGAGATCATGATCGGGAGAGAGATTTTTCTCTCCGATTCTTCGATAGAGTCCGAAAAGAATCTCTGAAAATCTCGATTCCTTTATTTGATTCCTCCGTTTTTTCTTTCTTGGTTTTTTTTCGATTGCCCGTGAAACAGCGTGATCGTGAATGGGGAAACCGATAGGGAAGAAGAAGAACCCGGACACGCCGACCGCTGTCGCCGGCAGGACGGGAAAAACCTACGACCGTTCTGCGTCGAAAGCGTTCGATGAGGACATGGAGATCTTCATCAACAGGGCACAAGAGCTGAAAGAAGAAGGGAACAAGCTGTTTCAGAAACGCGACAACGAAGGCGCGATGTTGAGGTATGACAAAGCCGTAAAGCTTTTGCCCAAGGATCATGGCGATATAGCTTATCTGAGAACGAGCATGGCTTCTTGTTATATGCAAATGGGATTGGGTGAGTACCCGAACGCGATTAACGAATGCAATTTGGCTTTGGAGGCTTCCCCTAGGTATAGTAAGGCTCTATTGAAGCGAGCTCGCTGTTACGAGGCTTTGAATAAGCTTGATTTCGCATTTAGGGATTCACGTGTTGTCTTGAATATGGAGCCTGAGAATGTTTCTGCCAACGAAATCTTCGAGCGGGTGAAGAAGGTGTTGGTGGAGAAGGGTATTGATGTTGATGAAATGGAGAAGAATTTGGTCAATGTGCGGCCCGTTGGGGCGGCTCGGTTGAGGAAGATTGTGAAGGAGAAGTTGAGGAAGAAGAGGAAGAAGAATGCAGAGAAGGAAGAGGAGCAGAAGAGTAGTAATGATAATGCAAATCTTGACAGAGGAGTGGAAGCAGAGAGGAGGGGTAAGAGTGGGGTTGATGGAGAAAAGGTCGAGGAGAGTAAGACTGATGGAAAGATGGGCGACAATGGATTGGACAAGAAGCCAATTATCGAGGGCGATAAAGGACATAAGAAGAGGAATCGTAATCGTTCGGGAGAGGAGAAGAAGCTGGAGGATAAGGTTGTTGTTCAGGAGAAAAAAGTGAGTCTTGTCATGGACAAAGAGGTCATTGCCTCAGACATTGTTGATGGAAGAGCAGGGTCAAAGGAGGAGACAACAGTAACGAGAACCGTCAAACTTGTACATGGGGACGACATAAGGTGGGCACAGTTGCCGCTGGATTCGAGTGTGAAATTGGTAAGGGATGTAATCAACGACCGGTTTCCTGGTCTGAGGGGTTTCCTTATTAAATATAGGGATCCAGAGGGCGATTTGGTTACAATTACCACAACAGATGAACTGAGGCTGGCTGTATCTTCGAGAGACAAACTCGGTTCCTTCAGATTGTATATTTCTGAAGTTAGCCCTGAACAAGAACCAAGATACGATGGCATGAATAATGCAGAACCGACCGAGAGGGTTGCCAAGAAATCGAGTAGTGTCGCCGATAATGGAAGTGTCGGGGAAATTGTGGAGTCTGACAAAGCGTCTACTTGCATAGAGAACTGGATTTTCCAGTTTGCTCAATTGTTCAAGAACCATGTGGGTTTTGATTCTGATTCTTACCTGAACCTTCATGACCTTGGGATGAAGCTGTATACAGAAGCAATGGAAGACTCTGTCACCGGTGATGATGCACAAGAGCTCTTTGAAATTGCCGCTGACAAGTTCCATGAAATGGCTGCGCTAGCCATGCTTAACTGGGGGAATGTTCACATGTCCAAGGCAAGGAAGCAGGTCTCCTTCCCTGAGGACAGTTCAAAAGAAGCGATACTGGAAAGAGTAGAGGCCGGATTTGAGTGGGCACAGAATGAGTACAACAAAGCTGCAGAAAGATACGAAGAAGCAGTAAAAATTAAACCCGATTTTTACGAAGCTCTACTAGCACTTGGGCAACAGCAGTTTGAGCAGGCAAAGCTTTGCTGGTACCATGCACTCCGCGGCAAGATTGATCTGGAAAGCGAGGTTTCCCAGGATGTTCTGAGGCTATATAACAAGGCTGAAGAGAGCATGGAGAAAGGTATGCAGATCTGGGAAGAGGCGGAAGAACGACGTCTAAATGGAATTTCCGATTTTGATAAACATAAAGGTCTGTTGCAGAACTTGGGGTTGGTTGGACTTTTTTCTGAAGCATCAGATGAAGAAACTGCAGAGAAAACTTCGAATATGAGTTCCCAGATTAACCTCTTATGGGGTTCGTTGCTGTATGAGCGGTCCATTGTGGAGTATAAACTCGGGCTACCGACTTGGGAAGAATGTTTAGAGGTTGCAGTTGAGAAATTTGAACTGGCCGGAGCTTCTGCAACTGATATAGCTGTGATGATAAAGAACCATTGTTCAAATGAGGGTGCACTTGAAGGTAAAAATTCTCTCTTATGAATACCAAACGCCAACAGAACTTCCTTCCTGATATATCGATCTTTCTACTTGCAGGTATGGGATTCAAGATCGATGAGATCGTACAGGCATGGAATGAGATGTATGATGCAAAGAGATGGCAGATCGGTGTCCCGTCTTTCCGGCTAGAACCCTTGTTCCGGAGACGTGCCCCAAAACTTCATGATATCTTAGAGAATGTGTACTCAGGGCTTCAGTGATTGAAGAGTTCTCTTATACACAACAGAAAAACACACAAAGATTTCAGCTTGCATCAATTCTTGTTCACCACTAGGTAACAAAATAACCCATCCATGCTTCGCATAAACTGCGAATACAACAGTCAGTATCATCATTATGGATATGCTTTAGTCAGTTGCTGGTTGAACACTTATAGTCTGTCCAACGTATTCGGCTTTATATGCCTTGAACCATGTTAAAGTTTCATCCTTTACAAAGGAAATTATCCATGTTCGACTCGAGCAGAGGAATAGCTGGCTTTATAAGGTTTCTCTGCGAATTCTCTTACCATTTTCGAGGTTGATAAAGCTAAATTCTCGAACTCTTCAACTATATATTGCAGGGTATCGTTTTTGTTTTGGGATCGGTATACATTTCTCTCCTCCTCGGGTTTGGTTTGCAAAGGAAAAGAGAGCATCTCGGTCTTCTCCCTCAGCCTGCGACTGCTGCTCGTTGCTGATTCTTTTTGTTCATATTGATTCAATATATATATGCATCCATTCTTTCGTGTTGAGTATTCTTTTTGATTGGTTAATAGTGTTTGGAGAAATCTTGTATGCAAATTGTGATTGTTTCATTTGTGTCAGGCAAGAGGTGAAACCTTTGTTGTTCATCGTCTTGTCTATTCATTTTGGTCTCTTCAGATTGTACACTGCATATTGTTTTTGTTTTCTGAAAGTGATCTGTGTGTTGTTTGTCGTGCCATTGAGTTGTCTCTCTCTATATTGAAACGGAAAGTTGGAAAAACTTTGCTACTTTTATTAATTTGGTTAAAATATCCGATACCGATTCTAAGTGAATAATATATAATCACTAACTAGTACTTATAAATAAAAAATTAAAATCGAATGGTTATATTTTTTAAATGATCGAATCATTAAATAACAGAGTCAAAATCCAAAACGTAAGTCACAGAGTCAAAATCCAAAACGTAAGTCGAAATGTCACTTTTAAATTTTATTCCAGATGTATGAAAAATGGAAACTACATGACGTTTGTCTCCAGAAGTTGTGAAGGAAAGGGTAAAATCCCTAAAAAACCTCCAATTTGCAAAAATATATACAAATAAACCTTCAACTTGAAAAACTATCATTCAATCCCCGAACTTGTAATTTGTCACTGAATAAAACCTCGAATTTGCAAATTATTGTTCTAATAAACCTTTGACCGGTTTGACCACAATTTCAAACGATCGGAAATCCACGTATTGACGGATTGCTGATATCGTTTTTTAAATTAAATTGATAACGTGTATAAGGTGACATCAGCAATCCGTTAATATGTAGATGTCCGATCGCCTGAAATTGTGGTCAAATCGGTCAAAGGTTTATTAGAACAATAATTTGCAAGTTCGAGGTTTTATTCACTGACAAGTTACAAGTTCGGGGATTGAATGATAGTTTTTCAAGTTGAAGGTTTATTTGTATATATTTTTGCAAGGTGGAGGTTTTTTTAGGGATTTTACCCTGAAGGAAAACAGCAGGCATTTCTATTTCCAAGCATCATTGCAAGTGAATTGGGGTGTAGATTGTTTGGTTTTAGGGTTCTTCTTATGCTCTGTTAGAATTTTTTTTTTTTTTTTTTTTTTTTTTTATTTTTTTTTTTTTTTTTTTTTTTTTTTTGCAGCTTTGATCAAGTGGAAATGGTAGGTGTAACTCTGGGTTGGGGATGAGAATGTTACATTACTATCTTTGTCTTTTGTGCTTCTAGATGCATTTGCCATCTTTGATGAGTCACATTCTCGGTTTTTTTTTTTTTGGGTGTACTGACTAATATCTTTTATAATGTAACCCTTCAATCTCCATGGCATGGAATTTCTAACTGTTGAAGCCTTCGGACAGAAACTGAAGCATTCCCCTTGAGACGGGTTGTGCCATGTCCCTCTCTCGTCGGCCCAAAACCCGAACGAACTCATCCACGCTCAAGCTCCCGTCTCTGTTCGAATCGAACACGTAGAACGCAATCTCTACCACATTCTCTGACAACGATACATCGCATACATGTGGCATATCCCACGTTGAAAGTTTCGCAAAATGCTTCAAGTCCGAGAACGAGTTTTTAGATGCCTTACATGAGCCGCTGCTCGTTTGAAGTCCTCCATTGTCAATAGACCATTTGCTTCCCCGCACGTGAAAAGGGCCATGGAAAACTGTCCCAGTTTTATCCGTAACTTAGCGAACTGTTTGAATTCGTCCAGAGAAATGCGGATGTCATGAAGATGAGGGTGGTCGCCGAGTTCGTCAACTCGATCAAGCAGTTTGCCCAAATGGTTCAAATCAGCGGCAGCAACCATTGACAGTGCGAAATCTTTGCCCGATATGGTTCCTCTTCCTTTGTAGTCATAATGGGCAAACTCTAGCCTGAGCATCTACAGATTAAGCCGAGACTTTTCTTTCAGCAAACTCAGAAACCTAGTTCCTTAACCTACCTTAACATTGACGCCAGAGAATCAAAGGGTTAAGAATTTACTTACTTCATCGGTTAGGTCTCTCATGAACTGGACGAACTTGTCGTGTTTGAGTTTTTCGTTCCCGTCTTTTCCGAAGAAGTATTCTACCAAGCCACCATCCTCGACAGAACCAGATGTCTTAAATCCTGTACGAAGACCATCTCTGTGGAAAACTCCTTGTCTATGCTGAGATCTCATCAAACTCATTACTTTCTTGAATTCGTCCTTGTCAATCTCCCTACCCACACACACACGTTACTACTCTTCAGGAAACAAAACATCCGAAAGAAACTCGATTGATCTATCTGCAAAACTTTGCGCGAGCACTCACCCGTTATGGTTGAGATCAAACATTTTGAAAGCCACGGAAAAACTCGATTCAGGTATGCTGAGTAACGTCACGAAAAATATGTACCTGTTGTCAAGGAAACCGAGACTTTCAATCTCCGGAGGGGCAGAGAGATTATTACAAATGAATCAGGTTTTGAGGGACTCACTCTTTAAAGGAGATAAGCCCATCATTGTCGACATCAAACAGCATGAAAAACTCGGAAGGAGAACATCTTAACTCACCAGGACTCCTCTCCCCGTTCAAATGTCCTTCCCTTATCAGATGGGATTCCGACGGTGGAAACACCTGAACAATCGCCCTCATCAAATCTGCAGGTTTCATCATCCGTTCCCCTTCCGCTGTTCTAACTGATGCAAAGTACTCGAAAACCTAACAACACCGATCCTAAGAAACCAAATAAATCATCGGAAGAATGCTCGCTTTTCAAAACTTCCATCTTCGCATTCCAATGGAAAGGAGATTACTACATGAAAACCAATCAAAGGAACCAAAGAGAACGATGATATCCAAAACTCGGAGTTCCAGAATCCATTCTACACTCGGAAAATAATTCGTAAGAATTGTAAGTTCAGGAATCACATAACTGTGTACCTTTTCAGGCGGACTCTGCAATCTCAAGCGCTTCTCGTAGTTGAAAAAGACTTTCCTCCTGAAAGCGTCTGCCCAATTCCAACAAAAAATTGTCGCAGAAGAATTTCGTTTAGACCCTTCACCAAAAAAGGGCAAAAACATCAATCAATGAAGCGAAAACTAAGGATGAAGGACCTCCGACAATAAATCGAGAGCTGTAATCAGGCACCGCCAATTTCTGAAAGAATGATCCCGATCCCAGATCATCCACCGTATCCTCACCGGCTTCAGACGCCGCCGAGAAGGCAGAGAAGGGCAGAAACGTCTTTCCACGGAACAAACCAGAGCTCGAATCGTAACCACAGGACCAATACACAAACCCTAAGCCGGAACAGGCAGCGATTCCAGCGATCCACTTAGCAAGAGGGCCGACGGAACCACCACGCTTCGACCGGCCGACGCCGGGAAGAAAACTTGACGGCGAAGAAGATTCCGGGAACGAAGACGACGACCGAGAAGAGAATCCGTGGATCTGTAGCCGTTTGATGAGCCGCAAAACTCGACCAACGGACGGCGGAGATCTTCTCGAGCAGGATAACAACGCGGGCATGATCAGTGATTTTCGAAGTGTTCTGTTTGTTTGTTGGGAGATGCAACGAACAAAACAGCTTTTAAAAATTTGGGGAACCGACGACCGAAAAGCGCGTCGTTTTTGAATTTTTGCATCTCGAAAACGGCACGGTTTTTGAAGCCAAGTTAAGAGATTTTACAGCCAACAACACAAAAAAAAAAACTCAGTAAACTATCATGTCTCTTACACCATCTCTGTTCCTCTGATCAGAAGAAACATAACCATCAACAAGTTCTCCTTCCTTAGGTCGTGTCCGATGCCGCCGTTCTCTGACATAGATCACCCAGAAGACAAGAGAAAGCATCATGGCCGTTGATGCTGTCATCAGACCCAAGTAGATCCAACGGCTGTAACGCCTCAGGGCAGGACAGTGTTCCCCTGTTATGTCCGTGAATGTCTGCCTCGCGTATGAGCAATCTTGAAGCTGAGTTAGGAATGGTGCGTCATTGACCAGTCCTTTGCTTATGTTCACTTCCGACGCCATCTGACCATACAGTACCGGTGTTAGCCTCCCCGTTGTGGTGCATATCCCATTCGGGTTCACTTGGCAAACGTAGTTGCTCCATGCCTGTGAGAGAGTGTGTACGCAAGAAAGAAAACAAGGGTTTGACCATTTGCTTACGAAAGGTTATGTTTTGAGCATCAAAGATTGGATTTTGATCGGATTAACATAGAAATAAGTGGATTTATCATTGACCCTGATAGACTTAATGCAGAAACATAACGTTGAATCGAAAATTATGGATTTTAGCGAGTGGGACTTACTTGTGTAGCATTGTTCAAGTCTACTTCACCAGGAGAACAAACTCGGTCTGTCAGATCATGGTGAAATGGGTTGCAGAGCAATGGAAGCAACGGTCCTGATTGGTTGTAGTACATGGGGACAAAGTTTGGAGCGAAATTGATGTTGGAGACATTGGTGATGACTTCATTGACCAGATCGACGAGCTGACAGGTGACCTCTTTACTCCGTGTAAGCGTGTCTTGAGCAGTGGCATTGTCCGAACAAGGCAAGATCTCGTCAAGAGCTGTGTGAGCCAAAGGGCTCTGAACCCATTCGGCCATTGCCACACATGTATCTGAAGTAGCACTGATTTTACGAAAAATAATTATCGGGGTTTAGCTTATAGAGTTTTAACAAAGCGATGAAGGTCAAGGTGGAAGCAGTGAAGAGTCTGAGATGTACTTATGCAGGAGGAGGAATGTGCCACTCAAGATGAACGTTGCCGTCACCAGAATCCATCCCAGAATTACAAGGCTGCAGAAGGAACAAGAAAAAAAACTTTTTTGAGATATCGGCGAGAAGATTTGGTTATGGGGTTTTCCAAATGATTTACACATGAAAGTTTAAAAACTTCTTTGAGATATTTCACAAGCTACTCACGTATAAACGAGTATATGCATCCCCAAAATTGAAGCCACTGCAAGGTGAACAAAATGAAAAAAAAAACGAAGAAAAGATAAAGAATATATCACGAAAATGTATTACACCAGTTGCAGCATTCATATAAAACCAAAAGCAAAGCATTAACTTAGAGGGTTTAGTAACAGGATTTGGCATAGATAATTTTTTTACCAACAACTCTGAACCTTATTTCATCTTCTGAAAAACGATAGTTAAGGGAATTTAGATAATGTGATGGTTAGAAACAGGAATCATCTTGTCAATTTGGCAAAATCATACTTGTTCCTTGTAGATGTTGAGAGATCAGATTTTTGTTTCTATCATATTTCCTTGAAACATGTATACAATCACGGAGTAAAAGTTGGTCTGTAACTTACAGAGGCCAAGAAACGTCAATGCGAGCATGAGAGCTGAAACCACAATTAGTGCCACCCTCCTGCATGAACAAACAGCGGCATACAACCATTATTTCACTTTCAAGAATTATAGCCAAAATCTTTGAAAATGGAAGTTACACAGAGTTGAGGAAATCTCTAATATCATCAGAGTTGTCTGTTGTTTTCTTGGAGATGGTGGTTGCAAAAGAATTCAGCCTTCCTCCAATTTGATCAATGTCAGTCTGGACAGCAGCTGGCAAGAAAACCTGATCAACTCCTGTCTGCTTGGCTGAGGCAAGATAGTCTGAAATACTCCTCAGCTGTGAAACTGTGCTGTCAGCCTCGCCTATAACATAATCCAATGCCTTTGTCGTGCTTTCGTGAAACTTTAATTGACCACTGTATAGCAGTACACATCCAATGCTGCCACCAACAAAAACGCAAGTTCAGATTACTTGGTTGAAAACTTCATTAATTATTCACAAACCAAGTGAAATTCTAATCTCATGACAGGATTGAGGACAATAGCAAGAATGCCGAAAGATCGATCTCTAAGGCAGAATGCCACGGAAAATGAGGAGGTAATCGTACTCTTACGCACATTGCAGTGATGGTGAAGAGTACTAGAAAGGCGAGGGAGAGGGCATAAGCGGTTTTGGAGTATCCATAAGATCGATCTCTAAGACAGAAATGGCATACACAGATAAGCAACAAGCAGAATCCAAACCCAATAAACCAAACGGCGGCAATGGTAAACAGAGGAACAGCCGTGTAGCTCACAGACTGCAATATCAAAAAACACATAGTGTCAACAAGTAAGCAATGCAATCTATGATCATTCTCCAAACTGTCAGAAGGGTATTATTGAATGGAGGATTTGAGGGAGAACTTACAGCCCAGTAATGGTGGTCGCTGATATTCCATCCCCCTGTATACTTTTTGAAGCCATTAAGAGGATCTTTTCTGTACGTTCTTTGAGCAGCCAGAGCCACTGAAGGGTCTTTTACCAAAGGAAGGCTATCGAAAGGCCCGTAAATCGGAGCCTCTGCAACTGATCTTCTTCCACTGCCACTAGCGATACTCCATGAGAAACTCATTGTGGAAATTTCCACCCGGGTTTCCTCGGAAGCTTAAAGCGAAAATTATATGGAAGGTTAGAAGCTTTGGGATACTGAAAACGTAATAAAAGCTGAAACTTTCTATAAACCCTAGAATTGCAGAGGGAAGTGGAGGTTATTAAGCCCGAAAGTTGGGATTTTTGTTACTTTTTTTCAGATTTCAGAGAAACCCATTCTGAGTCACACGATAATCTGTGAAGGGCTCTGCAAAGTTAGAAGCTTTAAGCGTTCTGAGTGCAGCAGCATTTTCCCATAAACATAACAGGAAATGCAGAGAAACAGAGACGCGGAAAGAGTAACAATGGAGATAATTTACTGTAGTAGTGGTTACCCAAGGAATTCTAAACGAATCCTCGGCGGCCCAAGTTCTAGACTTGTTTTTTGTTCGACTTAACATCACAATGCATTTTCTCGAGAAACAAACAGAATGTAGAGGAAAACGAAAGAACCCCCAAGGAAAAACTAAAGTCCATACACACACCTGCAGGCGGTTGGCTATGGAGAATGTGGAGATGAGAAGCTCCATTAGCAAGAGAAATCATGGTGAGGAAGTAACAAAAGAGAAACTTCATCACTTGACTTAATCGCAGAGTGCTTTGACGCAGCATTCTTCTCACGAGAGAGAGAGAGAGAGAGAGAGAGAGAGAGAGAGAGGAGAAATAGGAGAGAAAGCTTTGCTTTTTTGAATTTCTTAGGCACAAAGGGGACTTTTAGTGTTGTAGGGCCATTATGCTTGGAAATCCCCATTAGCAGAGGTGCAAAACAATAATTTTGAAATAAATAAAACAATCAATATATTTTGTGTGTAGTAACCAATCAAATTTAAATATATATGAACTAAGGTGATTTAAATGGTATATGTACGGATAAATTAAAATAGATTAGAAATTTAAATATTTGGTGCCTTTTGGTGTGAGAGGAATGAAGGACATGTTTGCAAGACGCTAGAACTAGAACACTTTAAATTCATAATTTGTTTAATTAAAATATATAATTAATACTATTTTTTTACTAATTTTGTGTCAATTAGTTTAAATAATTAAAATTGAATAAATTGGTAGTAAGAGTACTAATCCAGATGTATCCAGTTATTGGTAGTTAAAATGACGAATACAATAATTGGTTATAGAGATGAAACTAATTACTCATCCAAATCTATCATATTATAAAATCCAGCAATATTCTTACAAGATCTGTCGTATGGTTATGACATTGAGTTTACGGATTTTATTTTACTTTTATTTCCTTTCATTTGGAAAAAAAAAATGAAGGATCGACACTTTGTTGATGCTAATTCATATTAACCACTAATCATAAAATCATTAATCGTAGTTACTGTCGTGAAAATAGGCTTATAATATAAAATACACTATGTGATACTTGAATAATTATTTAAAAAAAAAAAAGATAAACGAAGATGAACAAGTTGTGGACCCACCACATAATTGTCTTTCATGGGCTCAAGAAACGATGATTTATTATTTTATTACTGGTGGTGTTTTAGGACAAAATTATAATGTGAAACATCCCACGCAACTTACGGCGCTCCATTGACTATCAATGTTACGGTCTGCGTGCAGTAATTCCCTGGTTTTCGTGAAAACCGATTCATACCGGTTTTGGCTAACCGAGGTTAACCAGGATGTTGAGACGCAAGTTTGATATATATTGGGCCTTCATAAAACCCATAATAAGCAAGTTATTTGTTGAATATTTTATGGCCCATTAAAAAGTTAGGCCCAACAATACATAAGGGTTGCTATTTTGGTTCATTTGTTTCGAATCCATCCCAAGTATATAATCATATTTGAATGGAATTAGAAAAAAAAAAAAAAGGAAAAATCCATATTCCCCATGAATTTGAAAAAATATACCAAATTCCTCCACAAATTTTTAATTTGACAGAAACTTACATTCAAATTCAAAATTTTCCAAATTCCCACACGAAATCGAAAAAATCGTTGCAATGTCCTACATCTCCGTTAAAATCTCAGCTGGGTAGACTAGACACGTCGGACGAAATGTGCATATGTATATACCACGTGTTTAACCTAAAAAAAAATATACCAAATTCCTCCACAAATTTTTAATTTGACAGAAACTTACATTCAAATTCAAAATTTTCCAAATTCCCACACGAAATCGAAAAAATCGTTGCAATGTCCTACATCTCCGTTAAAATCTCAGCTGAGTAGACTAGACACGTCGGACGAAATGTGCATATGTATATACCACGTGTTTAACCTAAAAAAAAATATACCAAATTCCTCCACAAATTTTTAATTTGACAGAAACTTACATTCAAATTCAAAATTTTCCACATTCCCACACGAAATCGAAAAAATCGTTGCAATGTCCTACATCTCCGTTAAAATCTCAGCTGAGTAGACTAGACACGTCGGACGAAATGTGCATATGTATATACCACGTGTTTAACCTAAAAACAAGAAAATCTGAGCAAAATTAAACCGGTTCGGTTAACAATTAAAGAAAAAATAACCCAAAAATCTCAAACCCTAAATTGACATTGATAAAAATTTATCGACCAGCCCACACCACCACAACCATATCCGAGGAGGAGTAACTCGCTCTCTGCCTCGTCATGCTCGCTCGCAGCGGCGGCGATTGTACCCAGAAGACGGAAGCACATCCGCAGATAACGTAGATGCTCGTGGGCAAGCCGAGTTACAAGTGCAATGTCTGCGGCAAGACATTCCCGTCGTATCAAGCTCTAGGCGGACAAAAGGCAAGCCACCAGAAACAAGCCGAAGATGACCAGTCCACCTCCACGACCACCACCACCTCCGGTGACGTTAGCGGAAGATTCCACGTTTGCCCGATCTGCAACAAGTCATTGCCGACGGGTCAGGCACTCGGCGGCCACAAGCACTGCCACTACGACGGCTGTAACAGCGTTGCTTTGGGGAATCAGAACGTCGTGACTTCGTCGGAGGGCGTAGGGTCGAGTAGCCACGTCAGCCAACAGAGCCAAGGTGAGTTCGACATGAACCTCTCGGTGATGTCGGAGTTCACCGCCGGTGAGTTCTTCATCTACGGTGACGGCGAGGACGTCATCAGCCCGATGCCGGCGAAGAAGCCCCGCCTCTTGGTCTCGCTCCGAAGCCACAGAGAAATCCAAAGGGTTACGTGACTAATGGATTCAGGAACACATTGTTTTTAGGATTTAGATTTCAATTCTTTTTTTTGTCATTGTGGAAAAAATTCTTTGTTGTACATAAAAACAGTTTCTTCGATTAGATTGGTGTATTGGGCATAATTCAAATAAATTCATCATCTTGTTTTTTGGGGTGAGACAGTGAGAATCGTTCTAAATCTAGGGTTACAAATTTTTTTGGGGGTTTTATTTTTTATTTTTTGGTTATTAATTTGATTGGTTAATTATTAACCGAACCGGTTTAAGTTTGCTCAGATTTTCTGGTTTTTAGGTTAAACACGTGACATATACACGTGTGCATTTCGTCCAACGTGTCTAGTCTAGTCAGCTGAGATTTTGATGGAAATGTGTTACGTTTCACGCCATCACGTGACGTGTAGGACATTGCAACGATTTTTTCGATTTCGTGTGGGAATTTGGAAATTTTTGAATTTGGATGTAAGTTTCTGTCAAATTAAAAATTGGTGGAGAAATTTGGTACATTTTTACAAATTCACGGAGGAATATAGGATTTTCCCAAAAAAAAATTGAATTAAAAAATTTGATTTTTTAAAATAAATACTTTTATTGATAAAAATTAAAAACAAACCAAATCAAAATTCGAATAGATATAATGTAATAAAATTTTAAACTTTAAACCCAAAATAATCAAACAAAAACTCGGAATTTGAATCCCAATCATCCACATATCTCTCATGTAATTTAAAAAAAAACAAATAAATTTCCGTATGCATAATTAAGAGCAATAACAACAAGAGGAATAAACAATGAGAGGGAGACCAAAGGCACATGTGGGCCACTTTCTTACAACTACTCCTTAAGAACAGAGAGATGACAAAGCCGACGACTTTTTATGCACTTATTACGAACTCGTCTTCTTCTCCTTCTTCCATAACACCATAGAGATACATAATTCTATACATACACATACACATTCCATGCATACACATATACACACCAAGAAAACAGAAACATGGGTCTGCGAGGGAAATTCTTTTTCCCGTTTCTAATGATATTATCATTGTTCCTAATCATAAGATACAACTCCATATTGGTCTCGACGGACGCCGCTCTCCGGCCAGGAGACAGGACGGAGACGCCACGTGTCGAGCAGAGGAGGAGGAGGAGGTTGTTTCACACGGCGGTGACGGCGACGGACACGGTGTACAGCACGTGGCAGTGTCGGATAATGTACTATTGGTACAAGAGGTTCAGGGATAGACCCGGATCTGAGATGGGCGGGTTTACCCGGATTCTTCATTCGGGTCGACCCGATTCCTTCATGGACGAGCTCCCTACCTTCGTTGCTCATCCTCTCCCTTCCGGCATGGATCAGGTTCTTTAATTATTATTTTTATATTGTTTTATGTGTGTATATGTATATAAATATATATAGTATATTCATCTCAACGTGTATGTAGTTAATGCCGAGTGTATATATATCTATGAACATATAATATGTGTGCGTGTGCGTGTCTATGTGTATATATGTGATGTAGTATGTATATTAAGAAAATGTTGAGGCTCGTCCATAAATCGGATTTCTCTTATTTTGTTTGGATATTTAGTGTAATTAAAATATATATTTAGAAAATTTGGTTAATAGTGGAATATTAACAATATTTCTCTTATATATATATATAATATATTTATATATTTGCATGTATTGAGATACAGGGATATGTAGTTCTGAATAGGCCGTGGGCATTTGTGCAATGGCTCCGACAAGCTCACATTCAAGAAGAGTACGTCTCAAATTTACCCTTTTACCCCTTAAATTTTATAAATCTTACAAAAATAACCACAAACAATTATTTTCGATCAATGAACCCCCTACGGTCAGAAATTGCCAACTCAAGCCTAGATTATCCCAATTTCAATGCACGCTTTACGACTCCTAAACATCAAAATGTTGGTTGTGAACTCATACCCGAGATAACACGATATTCATATTCATACTTCTATGGTATTTTCCTTGATCTTATTAATATTTCGATGTTCAGTTATTGTAGTTTGGTATGGTTTTAAAGCTCACATATTTTCCTTTCCCCGTCTCGTGTTACCGCAGTTACATTCTCATGGCAGAACCGGACCACATCATAGTTAAACCTATACCTAACCTAGCTAGAGGCAATTTCGGAGCTGCATTCCCATTTTTCTACATCGAACCGAAAAAATATGAACCCGTTCTAAGAAAATACTTCACGAAGGGGAACGGTCCGATTTCAAAGATCGATCCCATTGGAAACTCTCCGGTTATCGTTTCCAAGGTACACCCATCAAACTGTATCCAATCTTGTTTCTCTTTCAATGCTTGAAAGAGTAATTAAGGATTAATCTTGAGGGTATGATTAAAAAATCTATCGTATATTACATAAAGAGTGCACTGAAGAAGATTGCTCCGACATGGATGAACGTTTCCTTGGCGATGAAGAATGACCCGGAAACAGATAAGGCGTTTGGTTGGGTCCTCGAAATGTAAGTCTTTCTTTTTTGTTGTTGTTGTCATGAGAATTCTTCCGATATACTATA